ACTACAGGCGCCTGCCACAACACCCGGCTATTTTTTGGTTGCAGTTGTCGTTGTTGTTTGGCGGGCCCGGGCTGGGTTTGAATCCGCCAGCTCCAGTGTATGTGGCTGGCGCCCTAGCTGCTGAGCTACAGGTGCCGAGCTGAATTCTGTCAATTATTTAAGTGAAAGACTACCCTAGTTTCTTTTCATTAATATGTTTCTTCCTCTCAAAATCACCCAAACAAAGATGTGCATTTCACAAAAGAAACATTATCTAGTAGCTAGAAAAGAAATTGATGTTTTAATGATATTGACCAGAGCGGAGCCAGGCTTCCCGCAACACAGTATCTTCATTATTTGATAGCAACCTAGGAAATAGAGAACTGCTGGACGTGGACCTGCTGGCTTGCACCCTTATTCCAAGTAAGGCCATGGGAAGGATGATAATGGCTGTGACGGTCACCACTTATTAAATCATTTTTAGGCACCCAGCACTGTGCTTCAAATTGTCGTATTTGATTTCCACAGCCAACTGAAGATGAAAATGATAGATACCATCATGTGCTTTATTCAGGTAGAGCCACTTAAAATGTGGTCAGCCTGACCTCCAAAATCCTGAGTGGCCAATCACTGTTCCCTCGAATATTCCGCAGAGTCAACTGACATTAGTGGTCACTTATACCAATTCCTTCCGGAGTAAGCTCAACAGCTGGCTACATGAATGATGGTGATGTTGGTATCTATGATTTTTGAGTATATATGAGAAGCTGGGCAAAGTGCAGATTTTTTTGCATGTCACTAATCTTTGCCACACTCTCAGCTGTAGCTCAAGTTACAGATGAGGAAACTGGGGGCAGTTTAAACCAAGGGCAGGGAGGAATGATGTCTCCAGAGGAAGCACTGCAAAGGAAAAGTTACAGATATCTTTTGGGATGGGGAGTTGGGTGTTAAGCAGTTTGCTTAGTGACACACAGGCGCTGAGTGGCAGAACTGGATTCTCACCCACCTAAGATTTGTAATAGTCCTCAACCTCAAAAACCCACAAAGATTGAATAACTTAATGGAACATAAAGCAGACCATAGGAAGCATTCAATGTACGGAGGCGACCATGACCGTTACCAGGTTTTAAAAATCTAATGAACTTTTTTAGGGTAAGAAAGAAAATCAGTTTTGTATTTGTAAGCTGATCACTTTTTTATTTGCTTTGTGGAGAAGTAAGACTCTGGGTGGAAAAATAAAATATCCTGATATTCCCCAACTGATCATAACTGATTACAATCTCTTCCTATGGAGTTTACAAATTTCTTACCGCTGTTATTAACTGAAAGGCAGGACAGGCAGATGGGCAGGTCCCACCCCACCTCTCCTGGCTAATTCTGCCCCCAGGCTGGTGAGTAGCTACTGGTCAGAGGTGGGCAAGAGAGGAGGTGAGCTGCCCTTCTCCACAGTTCACTCACTGGAATCATCTGGAAAAGCCTGCGTGGGTGGCAATGATGATGTGAAAACCACCTCTGTTTATGGAGTGCACGTGATATTCCAGGCCCAGGGTGGGGGGCTCTTTTTGCTTTCTCCCAGCCAGAGCTCCCACAGTCCTTTCAAGGTGAGGTGACTTTTGGAAAGCAGAAGCTTGGACAAACTAAGTGGCTTGGCCAGTTGGTAGGTCAGTCTGGGCTCTGAGCCTGAGTCCGTCTAATCCTCCTGCCAGTGCTCTACTGCCAGACAAAGGTGAAAGAACCATTAGCAACTGTACTGAGGTCATTAAGATCAACCACCTTGTTCTACAGATTTAGACACAGAGGCACAAAGAACCAGGCCCTGACGCTTCATACAGCACGGAAGAAATGGATTCACTTCTCTTGCTGCTCAGGTCCTTGCTTTCTTGCTAATAGACTAACATTTTTGAAGGAAGGGGCTGTGGCCTGAGCCAAAGAAACAGAAAGCCGAGAATACAGGGCTGCCCCATCCCTGACGGGATGCTCCCCCCAGGTGTTCTGCATACAGCAGGTTTTATATGACTGCAATTATATTTTTTTTTTTTTTTTTGAGACAGAGCCCCAAGCTGTCCCCCTGGGCAGAGTGCCATGGCATTACAGCTCACAGCAACCTCCAACTCCTGGGCTCAAGCGAGTCTCCTGCCTCCGCCTCCCAAGTAGCTGGGACCACAGGCGCCCGCCACAACGCCCGGCTATTTTTTGGTTGCAGCCATCATCGTTGTTTGGCGGGTCCGGGCTGGGGATTCGAACCCGACAGCTTAGGTGTACGTGGCTGGCGCCTTAGCCGGTTGAGCTATAGGCGCCGAGCCTATGACTGCAATTATTATCTCCTCAACTAAACTCTAAGCTTCTTGAAGGCAGGGATAGGACCTCAGATTTCTGTGAATATGGTAGTCTCTGGCTTCCTCCTTCTATACCAGTGCCTAACAGGGTGCACCATACAGAAAGTGTTATCAGGAAGCCCTGGAGCCCCATGATGGGTATGCATTTCATTCTTTTCTTCCTTCCGTCGACAAGTACTTACTCATCTGTAGTCAAGGCTAGACCTGGGACCTCTTGGTGTCTCTATCTCTCCCATGGGCTCTTCCAGTACGACAGGCAAGATGATCACTTGATACACACAATTGTCTGGGACTCTAATAAAAATAAAGCTGTTTATTCTAAAGAGAAAATCCCCAGAAAGGACTATGATTGGCCTGGGTTGACTCATGTGCCGAAAGAATCACTGCACCTGGGTAGATGTGGTGTTCTGGTTGGTGGAGCCTTGTTCACAGCCCACATCCTTGTGACTGAGGGGTGAGGTCATCCCCTGTCCCTGAACCTTATGAGATATAAACCAAGGGCAGGGAGGAATGATGTCTCCAGAAGAAGCACTGCAAAGGAAAAGTTACGATGTCTTTCAAAATTGCCTCTGGTGAACCTGACTCTGAGTCAAGTGACAAGTCTATGAAGCCAAATAAGACATGGTCCTCCCTCGCCTATGGCCTCCACCCCCATAGGTGGGAGATACAGGCAAGTCAGTGGATGCTTAACCACAGCCCCACACGACAGGTGTTAGGAGAGAGGGATGCTCTCAGACCTGCAGAAGGGGTTAGTTAGGGAAAGCTTTCCAGAGAAGGTCGGCCATGACTCTTGAGAGATAAATAGGAATTTAACTGGATGAGGAAGGTGGAACAGAGAATCTGCCCCCAAGTAGACAGACTCTAGAAATATCTTGCCCAAGCTTTTCATTTGATGTTTAGAGGCCCCTTACGATATTCCAGCTGATGAGTTTGACACCTCTGGTTGAACACCCCCATTTAGGAACATTCGTCCCCTCTAAAGACAGCTTCGTAGGCAGATGTCAATCATTACGTTGTTATTTCTTACGTTGAGCTGAGACCTGCCTGTCGGTTGATGGATTGACAAGAATGTGTCTGGTTCAAAATCTGATTTAGTACCGACACCGGAGCCTCTTGCAGCCGAACAAGTTTGGGGGGACCATCTGCAGTGGTGATATCTGGGATGAAGCCAGCTGTTCCAGTCCCACACCCTGTCACAGGCAAGCACAATGTGGACAGGATTTCCAGTGTAAGGAGACAGGTGAGTTGCATTCCAGGAGGAAGACAGCTGTGCTTGTCAAACACAACATGAAAACATTCCCCTAATCGCTGACAAGCTTGGTGTTTTTGTTGTTGTTGTTGTTCTTTTGACACAGAGTCTCACTCTGTCACCCTGGGTAGAGTGCTGTGCTGTCATAGCTCACAGCAACCTTAAGCTCTTGAGCTCAAGTGATCCTCTGGCCTCAGTCTCCTGAGTAGCTCTAAGTGTAGACACCTGCCACACTTGGCTAGTTTTTTCTTATTTCTGGTAGAGACAGGGTCTTGCTCTTGCTCAGGCTGGTCTCAAACTCCTGAGCTCAGGCGATCCACCTGCCTCAGCCTCCTGGAGTGGGAGTATAGATACAGGCATGACCCACAGCCCTCAGCCTCCAGGGAGCTTGTTAAAATGCAGATTCCTGAGACCTTCCCTTAGAGGCTGCCATTCTGTAGCTTTGGGATGGGGCCCTAGGAATCTGCATTTTAAACCAGGCTGGCAGCCCGAGTAATTTTGGTTCAAGTTTGTGGGAGCAGCTGTTGATTCATTCAGAAAATTTGCAAGTCATTCATTTGTCTAGTCATTGAGCAAATATTGTTTGGAACATATTAAGCACCAGGCAATGCTACCTGTGGTTAATATAGAGATCAAAAAACATAATGCACTGACCCCGAGGAACTCCTAGTCTGGGAGAGTGACCCTCAGGAGTTAAGGACAATACCCGTACGCCCACTGCACTGGCACATGCACGTAGCCCGTGGGACTGCCCTGCAGGTGGTACCCAAAGCCGATTTGGGGGAGACAGGCCAGGCTTCAAAATAGCACTTGAGAGTTGGAAAATAAAATAGAACTTTCTAGGAGAAAGAATACACAAAAGTATGGGGATCAGGGACTCCGAATCAGTGCAAAATATTTGCAGCATCAGGGCTTTGGGAAGAGAGGTGAGTGATGGGTCATTGCAGGAACCAAGGGCTGGGTAGTTAACTGGGGGCTAAACTGTCCCATTTGGAAGAGGAGGAGTGGGAGCTACCGGAGGATATGCAGTGAGGGAGGACATGGCTGGGGGTGTTTTAGGAAGATTACTGGGGGCTGCAGTGCAGAGGCTGGGCTAGGGAGAGAGGGAGACTCGGGCATGGCCTGAGCTGAGAAGGGGGCTGCAGGTGGGAGTTCAGGATGCTGGGAGGAGGTCAGAGCAGTGGGGACACAGAGAGGCAGGACCACGGGTGGGCTAGTTCAGCGGTGGAAAGGAGCTGGTGAGTATGGTTGTGGGTGGTGAGGGACAGGGGTGTCCAGACAGCAGCCACAGCCTCTCCTGTCTCAGGTCGCTGCCTGAAACGCCACCTGGTGTGTAACGGAGACAGGGACTGCCTTGATGGCTCTGACGAGGAGGACTGTGAAGATGCCAGGGTCTTTGAGGATGACTGCAGCCAATACGAACCGGTTCCAGGATCACAGAGGGCCGCGCTGGGGTGAGTCCCTGCCTGCTGGCAGTTCAGGGGGAGGGATGATTTCTCTGTAAGCAGGAGCATTAGGTCCAGGGACAGCAGGGGACCATTTGGGAGGGCTCCTCTGGAGGGCGTCCTGTGAGGTAGCCCCTAGCACAGCTCGCCCAGTCCCACCTCCTGGACACCTGACCCACCTACCTGTCCAAGGGTCCTTATCTCATTTCACCCTCCCCCATGCTACTGCTCAGCACCTCTCACCCCTGTGCCATTTCCAAGGACCTTTAAGAAGCCATATCTTCCATTAGGGCTTCCCTGATAGTCCAGGAAGACAGCTCTTCTCTCATCCGAGTGTCCTTTCCAACAGCCCTGCTCACAATCTGTTTTGCACTTAGTCCCTTGTCTAACCACGGCTGGCAGTGAGAGAGAGTGGCCTTACCCCAACTGTCCTGTTCCTCCCTCAAACCTCTGAGGCTGCAGTTTCTTTGTCTTTATCTGTTAAGATTTAATCAGCTTTAATTGGGTGGCCGGTGAGCTCCATTGCTCAGAGCGCAGTGCTCAATCAATGCTGAGTCTATCTTCTCTTCATCATTCAGATTTGGGTCCTTAAATGAATCATACTCTTTCTTTCTGAGCCTTAAGAAGTCTGGTTCCTTCCTTCTAAAACACTCTTCCCCATTCTCCTAACCTGGATAACTCTTGATATAGTGTTATGGACAGAATAATTTCTTTCCCTCCGGTTTGTATGTGGAAGCCCTAACTCCCAATGTGCCTGTATTTGGAAATAGGGATTTTACAAAGGTAATTAAGTTAAGTAAGGTTATAAGAGGGAGACCCTAATTCCATAGGTCTGGTGGCCTTATAAGAAGAGAAAGAGGGAGCAGAGATCTCTCTCTTTCTTTATAAGCAAAGAGAAGAAACCACAGGCGACCACCCCAAAGAGGCGGCCATCACTAAGCCAGGAAGAGCCCGCAGTGGAAACCAGTGTGACAGCACCCTCAGAATTCTAGAGGAAACAACTGCTGTTGGAGCCACACAGTCTGTGGTATTTTGTCATGGTGGTTGGAGCAGACTAGCACACCCAGGATCATGTCCTTTAGGAAGCCTTCGTGACAGCACCTCCCGGCTCCAGGCACTGCCAGTGCTGGCTGAGTCTCCTCCTGCTGCTCCCAGAGCCTCCTGAGTGTCCTGTTCTCCCAGCACTCACTCAGTAGCACTGGGGACATCTGTTGGCAGGTCCATCTGCCCAGGCTAAGGGCTCCTTGTCATCTCTGCTTCTCCAGAACCCCGCACATGGCTCCACTCAGAGTGACATCTCTGGGGATGTTAGTTCTCTGCCCCTGTCTTTCCTTTGGGGCATGTCCTCTAACTGGGATGTGAACTCTGTGAGGGAGGAGATTGCTTCTGACTCATCTCTTCCACTTCCTCGACCCCTGTGTCAGAGCTTGTCCTGTAACAGCTTTTCAGCACGTTATCCATTGAATTGAAAACAAATCGATGTGATCAGCTGGGTCTTTACAGATAAGGAAGTGAGGAGATGTACTAACTGTCACGGAGTGACCCAGCCGTGCTGCAGTGCACTCAGGGACAGGTCTGGGTGCCATGAACTGCGGCTCTCATTCATTGTGGCCTAATTGTTCCGAGATCACGGTGCACCTGCTAATTGGGATCAAACCCTGTAAGTGCCTGTAGACATACACGTAAAATCGATGACTACATTCAGTTTTCCTTCAGACCAATTGTATTAGTTTGCTGGTATTGCCAATAACAAAGTACCAAAATCTGTATGGTAGTACTTAGATTTAACCTGTGCAGCTTGAGCAACAGAAATGTATTTTCTCCTAATTCCGGAGGCTAAAAATCTGAGATCAAGGTGTCCGCAGAGTGGTTCCCTCTGAGGCCTCTCTCCTTGGCTTGCAGACGGCTGCTACGTCCTGTGTCTTCTTTACGTGTTCTTCCCTCTGTTCTTATCTGTACCCCAATTCCCCCACTTAGAAGGATACCGTTCAGGCTGGATGACCACCCTAAATGCCCTGACAACCTCATTTTAACTTAATTACCTCTTTAAGGACTGTCATCTCCAAATGCAGTCACAATATGTGGTTTTGAGGGTTAGGGATTCAACATAACTCGGCCCATAACATTAATCAAAGAGGATTCTTACTGATTTCAATAGTGATCACAGAATAAACAGAGGAGAGGCAAGAAACGCCGAGGTACTGAGCTAGGAAATAATCCCTCTTTATTAGCAAAGAGATCTGCAAACCGTGACCCTGTGCTCGTGTGATGCAAGGAGAAGCATTTCAAAGACGTTTTCTGAACAATGTGCTTTACCTGCATAGAATACTGAAACCAGCAAAACGGCCCTTCCTCTAGACAGCCAGTGTTTTGATGGTTCTTCTGTTCATCTCAGCTCACAGAGGCTTTTCTTGACATCTTACTTGCTTTTAACCATTTTCTAATTTAAAATTTTTATCTTTTGTTCAAGAAGTAATATATGTTTGAGATAAGAATTGAGTCTTTCTTTACCCTCCCCACCTGCTCCCCTCCTAGCTGCCTTGTCTCTCATTCCATTGACAATTTAACATAGATACTTCCAGATCATGTTAAAAAAAAGAAGAATGCATGGTCAGTACACATTGTATGAAAACATACCTATGTGTACTGTGAATATTAGGCCTATTTTACACGAATGTGGCCAAACAACGGATGTCTGTAACTTTCATTTTTTTTTCACTTCATAATGCATGCTTGACATTTCTGTTTATATTTTCCATCTCTTTAATAACCTACATACTATTCTATAACAGGGATTAGCAAACTATGGCCTGAAGGCCAAATTCAGCCTTCTGCTCTTGTAAATAACATGTTACTGTATGGCCTAAGAAGCTTTAACTATTTACTGTCTACCCCTTTGTATTAAAAAAAAAAAGTTTGCTGACTCCTCTTTGGTGGTATGATTAGTTCACTTATTTGACTGCTTCCTATTGGAAGCTAATTAGATGATTTCCATTTTTTTCCTTTTATAATCAATGCTATAATGAACACCCATGTAGATACACATGTTTTTTGTATGGGTGTGTGAATATTTCTGCACAGATTTACAAAGGTAGTGCTTTTTAGACTATGCCTTTTAATATTCACTGGGGCTTTTGTAGCAGTTTTTCCCAAATATTAAGAGGGCTGTCCAGAGACTATCCAGCAACGCCCTGTGGAAAACGTGAAAAACAATAACTGGATACTTTCCAGACCACCCTCGCCTGTGGCTTAACTTACGCTTAGAGGTTGTGATCCAATCTTAGGGCTTCCTGTTCCTTTGAGTTTCTGTTTGGTCTGTTGGAGGGTCTATATTTATACATTAGAGGCAGAAACAGGTCCGATGGGTGAGAAGATAGAAACTGGAGGATGTGGATGGAAGCCAGCGTTTACAGTCAACAACATCTAGGAAAAGTCCAGCTGTGACTATAGGCAAGTGACTTAATTTTTCTGAGCTTCCATTTTGGTGTTTGCAAAATTGTCGTGAGGTTGAAAGGTAATCATGCTTATGTCTGGTAGGGTGTGTATTCAATTCATCATAGCTATGATTACATCCCTGCCACTGATACGGAGAAAGAGATGGAGGAAGGGAGAGGGGGAGGAAGGTGACATACACTGAATGTCTGTGACCTGCCAGGTGCTCTGTAATTATCCATTTACTCCTTTGAGGTGGGTTTTATTCCCAGTTTACCCCCTGCTCCATTTCTGCCTTGGTGCCTTTTTCACAGAGGGCATAAATAAACGTGATCAATGCTATGCCACAGGTAGTCACCGACTGTCCCAGGAACACCGAGGAGGGAGCAACTGTCTGTCCAGAGCATTCCGAGAAGACTGTGTGCATGGGTGGTGATGGCTGAACTGGGTCTTCCAGGATAAATGAATGGGAGTTGGAGAAACAAACAAAAGCAATAATTTTATTATCTGTAACATAGGAGGCTTTTATTGTCTGGTATAGAACTCTTGGCCAACTCTCACGTTTTTGTTCTGTTAACTTGCCCTTTTCAGAAAATTAAAGCTGTATTTCACTCAATCGACACTGGATTTTACCTAAATATGGTAAAACCATCCAGGTCCTAAAACAAGGAGTCTGGGCAGATAAGTTTTAAATATTCCATAGGGAGAAGCATGGGAAAATATTTCTAGAAGAATAGGAGGTGAGGGGAAAATAAGGACCATTTGTTGAAGCCTAAAGGTGCCATCAACTTCCTTTCTGCTTTAATTTAATGCGCCCATTTAATCTTTACAAAACCCATGAGAGGTAGGTATTAGTATATCTGTTCTTTAAATGAGGCAAATGAACGTCAGAGAGCTTCTAGAAGGCAAAGTCCCACAGCTAGGAAGTGGCAGAGTCAGAAACTAAATAGGAGTCTCCCTGCCTTTCAAACTGTGCGCCCTCTGACACCCCACCCCGCCTTCAGCACGATGCCTATCTGAAGATTAGCTTCTCAACCTCAGCGCTATCAGCGACCTGTGTCTTAGCTGCAGAGCCCTTTTGGGAAAGAATACAGTAGCAACATTTATTCACGACTTACCAAAGTGCAATTATGGTTCGTTACATGAGTTAACTCGTATTTGACTCTTGTGAGTGTCGTAGTTATTATTAACTGCTTCTTACAAATGACCAACCGAGGCACAGAGAGGTTAAATTTGCATGAAGTCACACAGCTAGGTGTGATAGAGATGGAAAACGCATCTGACTCCTGCGCTGGGACTCACAATCACTGTGCCTATTTCTCTCAACAAATAAGTAGGGCTGCCTGGTACGTGGAAGCATTGTTCTAGATGCTGAATGGAGCCACCTAGATGTTCTGGTTAAAAGGAGGCTGGGACCCAAGCCAGCCCACTCAGTCTCCCAGTGTCACCAAAATGGCCTTGAAGCTATTTAGAGGAACCCTAGGAATCCACAGAACACAGATTGAGAAACAATTTCGTGAATCAGTTACATCTTCCAGAGAATGGGGTTTTATGCTAGCTTTGCCTTGCCAATGCTCTCTCACGGAAGCCGCTTTTTTGATTTAGGTACAATATCCTGACCCAGGAAGCGACTCAGAGTGTGTACGATGCCAGTTACTACGGGGGCCAGTGTGAGATGGTTTACAACGGAGAATGGAGAGAACTTCGATACGACCCCAGCTGTGAGCGTCTCTACTATGGAGAGGACGAGAAGTACTTCCGCAAACCCTACAACTTCCTCAAGTACCACTTTGAAGTAAGTCTCACCAAGAGGTTCTCAGGCCCCTGCAGGCTGGGTGGCAGGAGGGAAAGGCTGCTGATGGAGATGTCGTGTTCTGGAAGCTTTTATTTCCCATAGAGTTTGCTGGGATCTGAAGGCTCTTCTGTGCCTGCCCCCCCCCCCCCATACCTGTCAGAAGAGCGCTGAGAGGTGGTGAGAGGTGTAGCATAGATGTGGCCAACCCACCTGTTAAATCTGGGTTCCATGCCACAATTAATTAAATAGACCAGGGGCCCTCTGGGTTGCCCATCAAAGGATCTATGTCCAAGCTGTGGCTCTGCTAGACTATAGCTGCAGAAGACCTGGAGCAGCTAGCTCACTGCCCCTCTCTGGCCCAGGTCCTAAGCTGTAAAGTGGGGGCCAGACGGGGCATAGATGGGCAGGTTTCTGACAACTGTGCCCTAGCTATGCCCACGGAGAGCTCCCACTGAGGCCTTTCATATTTGGGCTTTTAATATATGATTTTGTTCAATGAAAATGTTCTTCTGTTCAAAAGTGCTATGAAATTGTTCCTGAGATTCCCTCCACCTCTGAACCTTGTGGTCATCTGGTCATCTGGAACACCACTTGGTCGCAGTCGATCCAGAGTCAGCTCCATTTCTTTACCCCTCATCCGTGGGGTGAGACGTCTATTTAGCAAACATCACTGAATGCTTAAAATACATCAGATTGCTGCTTCCACTTAACTCCCCATTTAATCCCCACAACACAACGGGATAGATGTGATCATTGTCCCATTCTAAAAATAAAAAGAGAGAGTGATAAAGGGATAAAGTATCAGGCCCAAATTGTACTGCAGTAGGTGGCAGAGATAAGATTCAAACCCAGGTCTGTCTGAATTAAGCCCAGGCTACCCTTCATTTAGAAGAGTCAACAGGCTAAATACAGGATATCTGTAAGGAGAGATGGGAGGGCCCCAGGATTCTGAGCAGTTACCTGGTCCTATCCATCCCTCCCTCAAGTTTCAAGAGAAAGGTATTGATAGAGGATAAGGCCAGGCGTAGGGGTCTGTTTGCTCCCCTAACCTCACGCCCACCTCTATTCCACATCAGGTTTAGGGTTAGCCAAGCTGGAGGACAGTGCTATGTTTCTAATCTCAAGGAAGGTCTGGGGCAGTGACTTTTCAACTGGTGTGCTATGGCACCCTGGTGTGCCATGAGAGGATCTTAGGTGTGCCTTGAAATTTTTTTTAGATCATTAATTAAATTATTTTCAAAAGAAGTTCAAAGCACAATTAAGTATATCCTTTTTTTTAACTTTTTTTGATCAACACAATTGAAGCATGCTGCGGGAGTTTAACTATAGGTTCAAGTGTGCCGTGAGATGCCAAAAAAACCCCGGGTCTGGGATCTATGTATCAGCCACAATAGATCAGGCTATACTGTGGGAATAAAGAATTCTCACATCTCAGTGGCCAGAAGCAACAATGCCTCACTTATGCTACTTGTCCAACCTAAGATAAAAAGGAAACTAATCATCATAGACACTCAGGGACTCAGAGTCATGGAGGCTCCATTTCCACACGTGCTCTCATGACTGGTGAACAGACTACTCCCAGGCTCCTAAGGCTTGCTTCACTGGCTCAAGCCAAGCATGAGACCATGCCTCAGTTCAGGCTGGCAGAGAAAGGTGATTCTGTTGTGTGCCTGCAAGGAAGTAACCGAACCTTTGTGGGCAACTGGTACCCTGCCTAGGACAATCCCAATCTGTACAATGTCCTTTGCTCCTTTCCTCCCAGGGCCATGCCCAGACGTGGCTTTCTGCATCTCACCTTTGCAAAGACATGAGCTGCCCTTCCCTCCAGGAGGGAAAAGCCAGCTGGAGAGAAATCCCTGCTCTGAACAACATAACATTTGATCAGAATCGTGTGTGTGTGCACTCACGTACACATGCATGATACATAAATATTTTAGCAGAACTGCTAAATACTGCCTAACTCTGCTACATTTTCTATATTTTAGCGAGTGTCAATCTGATACGTGGATTTGCCTTATAAAAGAAGCACGTACATGGTTTGGCACTGACAGCTTGGTGGTTAGGGTGCCGGCCACATACACCGAGGCTGGTGCTTTTGAACCTGGCCCAGACCTGCTAAACAACAATGACAACTGCAATAACAACAACAAAAAGCTGGGCACTGTGGCAGGCGCCTGTAGTCCCAGCTTCTTGGGAGGCTGAGGCAGGAATCACTTAAGTCCAAGAGTTGGAGATTTCTGTGGGCTGTGATGCCACGACACTCTACCCAGGGTGACATAGTGAGACTCTGTCTCAAAAAAATAAAAATAAAATAACAAAATTACTTAAATAATATAAAACTTTATATTTTACAAAGCCAAGATGTAAGTATGAGATATGAATTGAAAAGCTCTTCTATGCTCACAAAGCGAACATCTACTTGTTTATTATTTTCAGGCCCTGGCTGATACTGGAATGTCCTCAGAGCTGTACGATGATGCAAATGACCTTCTTTCTACAGTAAAAGATGACAAGTCTAAGTCGGGTGGTGTGACCCTGGGCATAGGCCCAGCCGGCAGCTCTGTGATGGCGGAATTAGGTGTGCGTGGATCAGAAGACTCTTCGTTCTTGAATAAGTTAAGCAAGTATAATGAGAAGGTATTAAAATATAATGTCTGTGTCTCGTAGTATCCCGTAATCTTCACTGAAACATGGATTACCTTAATTGCATTAAAAAGTACAGTGGTAATTGAACCTTAATTTGCTCCTGTAATTGGAAATGTCTGATCAGTGGTAATCAGGTTTGTTTTTCTTATTATGCTTTTGCACAGAGAGTCATCACGAAGGGAATAAAATTGAGAGATAAGGCTAGAACTCTTCTCACTTCACCTCCCCATCCCTTTTCATGGTTACCTGGAACACGTAGAGAAATGTGCACAAGGGGAAGGGGTGAGAAGGGAACCAGGCAGGCCCTCTGAATTTGGTCAGGAAGAATTCTAAAGCAAGGCTTGCTTTTCTAGATAGATAGGAGGACTGGCATGCTTAAAAAAAACTTTCATTTATCCATCAAACATTAACCACTAAGTGCTTCTTACCCTGAGGGGTCCAAACATGCTTACTTGAGGAAGGGGCATCAGTCAAAGCTGAGATCTAAGGACCAGTCTAGATCTTCCAGATGAAGAGAGTATAGAAGGGGGATCTAGAAATGAGATCAGCCTGTGCAAAGGCCTGGAGGTGTCCATGCTGCGCACACGCTCGGGATACGGGGTGTTTCAGCTGCCTGAAGTGTGGGCGGGGGAAGGAAAGGAGGGAGCCAGGAGGATGGACAGGTAATTAGGGACCTGGAGAAATAGTTATCGAGTTAGATATTTATCAAAAAGCCTCAATAACACTGACACCAGGACTGTGGATCTAGTTGGGGGTCTAAAAACTACATTGAACAATGAAAACACGTTTATAGAAATTAGCTCCTTCAACGGATTTAGATTGAGTTCTAGAGATTTTCCGAGGAAGCAGATCCTGATCTGAAGGCAGAGTGTTGCTTCGTTCTGAGGCCTGGTTGTAGCATGCTCCTGTGGACTTTTCTAGAAGCAGGTGGGCCTCTCCATACTTTCATCAGCACTTCAAATCAAGGCTCCTGTTCCCTGGAAGTGATGTTCACAGGTGGCCATCTTCCTGTACAACCGATCCTACTGTCCCCTGGTGCTATGTCTGTCTAGTGTAGGAGGATCCTGCTTTTCTTCATCGCTTAATAGTGTGAGGTTATCACTAGAACGTAGGCCCCACAGGGGCAGGGGCCTCACTTGTTAAAATGATATCTTCTGCACCTGCCATCGTGATGCTACGGGAGGCATGAGAAATACCTGTTCAATGAAGTCAGCTAGATGACATGTCCTGTCCTGTGCTTAATTTTGAATAGATGTGTAGTATCTTCATCGGAGGTTACACAGTGTGGCCCTTGATTAGTGCTGGGGGAAGTGTGGAGATGAGAGTGAACTGAGCTTGGAAAAAGTAAAGGGCTGTCATAGTGACAAGCTAGTAACTAAGCTAGGGGATAGCTGATGAGAACTGGACCTGGGTGGGGCCATGGGGACAGAGGTGAAGGCGTGGGAGAAGTCTGGTGCACGCTGGTGTCTAATACATGCTTGTAAAACGTAATAATACTTCATTCCATGTGTTTACTTTTGTGTGTATTTTCCACAGCTACTAGACACTGACCCTTTGCAGGCTCTCTCGTGGTAAATGCATGTTCTTTGTTCTTTTGCTTCGTTCCACGGTGGGTGTTGGCAGAAATACAGTTTCATGAGAATTTTCACGAAGGTGCAGACGGCCCATTTTAAGATGAGGAGGGACAACATCATTCTGGATGAGGGGACGCTGCAGTCGCTGGTGGAGCTCCCGGAGCAGTACAATTACGGCATGTACGCCAAGTTCATCAACGACTACGGCACCCACTACGTCACGTCCGGATCCATGGGTGGCACTTACGAATATATCCTGGTTCTTGACAATCAAAAAATGAAGTCTCTTGGTAAGTGAAGCTTTACACGCAGGGGTCCACACACACGCCAGGACATGGCCTGCCGTTTTCTAAGCGCTGACGTTGAGCTATGGGCGATCTCGTTGAGTTTGCATGACAACCACACCAGGCGATGCTAAGTAGTATTACAGTGCCGTGAAAAAATTTTAAAGACCATTAATTAAATTATTTTTCAAAAGAAGTTAAAAGCACAATTAAGTATATATTTTTTACTCTTGATCAACGTAATTTAAGTGTGTTGTAGGAGTTTACCTGTAGGTGTCGTGCTATATGATAAAAATGGTTGAAAAACACTGCAGTATTATTTCCAGGGACTTGAGATCCCTGGGGGTGCAATGGCTGGTTCACAAGCATTACAAGCAGGATTTCAGCTTGGACTTCCCCGGCCCCTCCAAACGATCCACTTCCTATTATGTTGTAGTTACTTCTTTAAAAATAAAGAATGCAGGGGATTTTTTAATTTAAAATGTGAAAACTTATTTTAAATGTAGATTCTTGTTCAATGGAATGACATGTGAGTAGTCAGTGAAGCTGAAAACCTCGTCATTCCAGATTCCCCCTCTTGTTAACCTCCGGGTTCCCAGGGCCCTTCCACTGTCTGTCGTTGCTTCCCTCTGCCCCATTTCCATCCCTGCAGTGGCAGACTGGGCTCTCATCCCTCACCGATTACTGCGTTGGCTCCTAAATGGTCTCTAGGGGCAGGCTCACCCCTTGCGACCCATTCTTGGCAATTGCCACTAGATGGATCTTTCTACTTCACTGATCTGATGATATCTCTCCCTTGTCTAATATTCTGCATGGCTGAGAATGAACTCTAAATTCCTTAGCATAGGACCAGCTAGCTTCATGGTCTCATGCCAAGAGACTACAACAGTGGTTCTCAAAGTGTGGACCCCAACTGTCAGGACAGCATCACCTGGAAGCTTGTTAGCAATGTCCTTTTTCAGCCCCCTCCCAAACTTAACTAAGTCAGAAGCTCCGAGGGTCAGCCCAGTGCTGTGTGTATGAACACTTACTGCAGTTTGAGGACATTGACCTGGGCCATGAGTGAGTGGAAGGCTGGGAGATCTATCTGTACTGCAAAGCCAAGTTCAAATTCCCAGTTTCAAGAAGTTTCCCCAGCTGCGCCAGTCCAGGATGGTCACTCCTTTTCTTCAACCCATGCATATAAATTGCACATTGTTGGTCTTTTATTTCTGTTTTTCTTTTTTTTGAGACAGTCTCACTATGTTGCCCTCGATAGAGTCTTGTGGCGTCACAGCTTACAGCAATCTCCAACTCTTGGGCTTAAGTGATTCTCATGCCTCAACCTCCCAAGTAGCTAGGATTATAGGTGCCCGCCACAATACCCAGCTAATTTTTCTTTCACATTGTTGGTCTTTATAAAACACTTTCCCAAATGTCAACATCTTTTCTCCTAAGCGAGTATCATAACTGAGACTTTTCTGTCTCTTTAGACAGAGAGTTTGAAATATTTTTGCCAAGGATCATTCATTCATTTATCCATGTACCCACTTTTTTAATAATCCAAGATGCTGTATTGAGCATCCGCTGTGTGTTTGTGGTGGGGACACAGTGGTGAGAAATCCAAACATGTTCCTACCCTCATGCTTCACAGTCCTTTTCAAACTGCATGCTGGGACCCAGCGGTAGGTCTCAACATCCATAGACAGATCACAAGCAACATTTTGAACAAGGACTGCACAGGAGAGACTAGGAAATCTCAGAGTGGAGTCTAGGCACTGAGGTGAGTTATTGCTTCAAGAAACTTTTTTTTTTTCTAGTTAAAGACGTTACACATGTATTGATCGTATGGTTTCTATAAACAGAATTGAGGAACACTAATTGCATTGGAGACCCATTTCTGATGCACAATTTTTATTTTTATGTTTTTGAGACAGAGTCTCACTTTGTCACTCTCGGTAGAGTGCTGTAGCATCAGAGCTCACAGCAACCTCAATCTTAGGCTCAAGTGATCCTTTTGCCTCATCCTCCTGAGTAGCTGAGAGTACAAGTGCCCACCACAATGACTGGCTATTTTTAGAGACAGGGTCTTACTCTTGCTCGGGCTGGTCTAGAATCCGTGAGCTCAGGCAATCCACCTGCCTCAGCCTCCCAGAGTGCTGGGATTATAGGTGTGAGCCACTGCACCTGGCCTACCTCACCATTTTTAAAGGGCAGAGGCCACCAGATAACCCAGCCAAATAATCAGGGTCATCCATCACCAAACACAGGAGCCCAATAGATAGTTTACTATGGATCAATGTGAAAAAAAAGTTTAAAACACCTTCATTCAAGTGGGTCCTTTTAGTCATTTAAAAACACGAGGAAGGACTCACCCTGCTGAGCCCCTGCTAGGTTCCAGGTGCTACTGCAAACATATCCTCATTCCATTTTCTGGACAACACTGGGAGATTTGTCCTTTTCCAGTTTGAGTCTCGTAAACACCACTGCTCCTCAGGGAGGCTGATTACTTCGCTCAGGGCTCCAGAACTCTGGGGTCAGAGCCCCAGCCCTGGGGTCCCACACCATGGGGTTTGGGCTCCCATCTTTGGTGTCAGATTATTCTGGGGTATCTGGTGGCCTCACCTCTTTAAAATCTGTGAGGCAGACGTGGGCTTCCCACGTGCTTAATATTCAAAAGAAGCCCACCGGCAAATTGTCCCGGGGATAATTACCTCGGTTCTGTTTATAGAAACCATATGTCCATAATGCCACCATTTGCTGTTTGTGAAGAGCTGATTTTTCTATAAATCCAGAAAGTTAGTGTTGCTTTTCTATAAATATGGAAATGTGCTAATCATCACCTCATCTGCTGGAGATCGCTAATAAATCAGAATGTCATTTACATATTAACCTACAAAGAACAAAAATATCTACCTTCTTTCCCTTTGACAAATAGAATGGCTCACAGCTTCTCTCTACGTCTGGTGTCTAGCTGGTCTCCCCTTTACCAGGTTCTACCCCCCCCAACTCCCTTTCTATCTGGGCTCCTTTTTCTCCCTCTCTCTTTCCCTTTCTCCCCCTTACCTCTTTCCTCTCTGTCTCTTTGATCTACGTGACTTTAATTTACATTCTATTACGTGCTGGTTTCTAAGGGACATCCTGCATGAGGTACATTCATGTCCTCAAAAGCCCGGGCTCGGGACGGGATGATTTAAGTGAACACACTGGCTGGTTTGCTCTGGGGGAATCTTTGTCCTTGGCTTTGCCTCAGATCCTCTCTGGGTTCGTCCCAGAGGATGCACAAGGCTGTTTTCTTCTAATATGTCCTTTAGATCAAATGCTTCTCCCCCGAAGACAGCATGACACCATGCATCAAAAATCAAGGGATGTCTCAGATGTCGGGGAGGGGATGTTAGACCATGGTGGGAAACTCGCATTTCCTCCAGGGCTGTGACTGGCAACCTTCCGCCTTGGGCAGGAAGCAGTAAGGTTTGGGGCTTCCGTTTCTGAATTTAGTTTTTTTTTTTTTTAACTTCCTTCATCCCTTCTCTGGAGCTTTAGTTATTTGTCTTTCTATCAAGATATATCAAGGAGAACTAGCGTATTCCCCATTCTGATTTCTCTGGAGTCTGGCCCAGTTATGGGGCTACTGACTTTCCTTGGTCAGGTCAAGTTCTTCAATGACTCTGATCCTGCCCCCCATGCAGGTTTTTCCCGCCGTTCCCCAGTGCCCTCCCTGGCTGGCCAACCTGACAATCTTGCACTCACCCTTTGGTACCTTGCACAGGCATTGCTACCCCTCCCAACCCCGCCCTCACATCACTCCGCCCCTTCTCCTGTAGTTTTGTTCAGTCATACATTCATTCATGGAGTTTGTATCTTGTACAAGGAGAACAAAATCAGCATGGTCCCCGTTCTTGTGAATTTCACAATCACAGCCCCAAATCCAGATGTCATCCTCGGTCTTGGCGTACCTCCTGCGTGATCTGTCAACCTGACTTTTGAAGCATAAGCTTCATATATGCCCCTCGCTTACCATCTCCCTGGGCAAACCACCATCACCTCTCACCTGGATATTGTTACTATCATTATCAAGTTATCAACGTTCCTTTAACACTCCACCACACCCAGCTTATTTTAGCCTCGAGTCTTCCAAAAAGTTGTCCTTCCTGCCTGGGGCTGCCTTTTCCTCGGGTGTTTACATAGTAGTATCCTTATCATTCTTATATCATCAACTTAAATGCTACCTTTTCAGGAACTGTTCCTGACCACCCTGTGTTGTATCATAAGTCCCTCTGTTATATCACCCTGTTTTTTTTGTTTTTTTAAAGATACAGAGTCTCACTTTATTGTCCTTGGTAGAGTGCCATGGTATCACAGCTCACAGCAACCTCCAGCTCCTGGGCTTAGGTGATTCTCTTGCCTCAGCCTCCCAAGTAGCTGGGACTACAGGTGCCCACCACAATGTTCAGCTATTTTTTGTTGCAGTTTGGCCGGGGCCGAGTTTGAACCCGCCACCCTCTGTATATGGGTCCGGTGCCCTACTCACTGAGCCACAGGCACTGCTGTGTTTTAATATCAGCAAATCACCGTTTGTTTAGTAGCTGCCAGGCGCACATACTCATTTGTTAATTGTCCATCTCCTCTTTCTGGACTGCCCGTGCCCTGAGAGCAGGGACCTCATCTGTTTTGTTCTGTGCTGCGTATTTATTTCCTAGAACAGTACCTGGCACATAGTCAGGGCTTAGCTGTGTGTGAGTGAATGAATCAGGATATAAATAGCTACAAATTGTGATAAGAGCCATGTAGAAAATGAACACGTTGCAGAAATAGAGGGGCCTGGAGACCACACTCAGTCTAGGATGCTCGGGGAAAGTCTCTTTGAGGAGGTGAAACTCAAACTGAGGTGAGGCCCAAAGGATCAGAAGGAGATGGCACCAGCCGTACAAAGGCCCTGCGAGAGGAAGGAGGGTGGTGTGTCTGTGAATGGAGAATGCATGTGGCTGAAGCCCTGGCTGCTATGTAAGAATAGCAGCAGGCAATGT